TGGGAATTTATCTGGCTTTTCTGTGCCACGGTGTGATTCATCACACTGCTCAAAGAATCTTCACTGGCACTTGTGGTGCCATAGATGTTAGTGAAAACATTGGCTTCTTTTAATCTGTTGTTGAACCTCTTTTAAATCTACTTAATATGAAATTTTAATATGGAAACATAGAACTTAAGGTAAAGTTTGGTAGCAATAGTAGCAGACAATTAAAATTATTTCTGAACATCATTAATTATATTAATTTATGAATATCAATATATTTATATAGCTGATAGTGGTAGCATATTATGCTTTCTGCATAAACATCTGCATCTACTTCTTTTACTTAGTCCCTTGTGGCTATTTTGGTTTTGACAACATTTAACTACATTTTGCTATCCTAATTGTTGTAATGAAATATGAAACACTTGTGGTTTCATTAAAAGTCTTGTGGAAAATGAAAAAGGTAACCCTGCTGTTTTTAATTTGTTTTTAATCCAACCAGAGTGACGCTTTGCTTTAGCATTTTTAACTCCTGGTACCAGTTGTACTTTGATTAAATAAAGACCCTTTCTCCTAAAGTAGAATATAATAAAATATGATAATAGCATTTACATTTGTATTATTGTTATACATCACAGTATGTTAGATATTAAAGCAATATAAACAACAAAAGTGAATAAAACAATGATTGACCTGACCTACCCATGTCCCTGACCCCTTCTTTAGTTACTTCTAAGTTAGTCAAGCTTTGACCAAGCCACTGTAGAAAGCATGAGAAAATCTAAAAGAAGCATCAATCTCAAGGTTTTTTCAATTTTTCAGTAATCTGTCATAAATCAACGCTTGGGTTGGGTTAAGTGTTGTGACTAGACATACTTATTTGCCCAAATTAATCGACAGGTTTTTCTTATTTCTTATTTATGTATTGTTTCTGGGAGACCCTTACAAAAATGAGTTAATTATAATTCCACACTAATACAAAATAGTGAAGGCACATATTAGATGTTGCTTCATGCTAAATTGGAAGGATTTCTTGATTCCAGAAATGTAATCTTGCGGTTAAAGGCTTCATTAAGAAAGGCTTTACAGTTTGTACATCAGTTGTGTGAGGCATCAGTGAGTTCTGACACAGGGTGTTTCTTCTGATTATTTATTATGGTTAATTAACTTCATGGTAAATCATTTAGTCTTCATCAGCTCTAGAACACAGCATAAAGAAACACAGAGAAGGAAAAGAAAGAAAAGGAGAAGAGAGAAACCAAGAGCAGACAGAGTTAAGGAATACCAGCATCCTCCTCTTCCTCCAGGCTTGTGCCATGCAAGATGACCTTATTCTGATTAGTGTTAGAAACCAAATTCTGTTAAATGAATCGTGACTTTGTTTTTAGAGCGCTTGCTATCCTGTTTATTTGAGGATATTGGGAAATTCTAATTTCCTTAAATTGTGAATCCTCAGGCTACAGTCAATCTCTCCGAGTTGCATTTTTAGAATATGGTGTTTGCCTCCCATTCACTATTGGATATCCATGCAGGAAGGGAGATTTGTGTTCTTGTATTTAGGACCCAGGTTTGGTCTCTTTTTGGCATATTTAGGTTCTATTGTGTTGCAGGTCACAGGGCTGACATTCAGAGTTTCTGGGTCTATAGGATGTAGGTTTCTGGAAAACAGATCTATATACGCATTTTTGTTTAGTCTTATGTGTTATTATATTGTAAATAATTTGGATGTCAAGTTTGGCTTTGATTTGATTATTTTTCTGCCAGAAGTGTGCCGGAAAATATACAAACTTGCATGCCTCAAACTGTTACCTACGGCTTGGATATATTTTCTTAAATTGCTCTGTTATCCTGTCCCCCATATTTTGTAACTATATAAAATGAAAGAATGTTTAAAAAAATACAGTATGGTGTGACTCTCCATTCTCAGTAAACATTTTTGCAATGTGTCTTTTAAACACAGTGATTTAGTTGTTAAAATTAACCTTGTTGAGTTTTTACACTGTTTTTCAGGCCAACACAGTTCTGTTTATGACACAGTCATCCTTTATTATTGCTGAAGCTGAAGTCAAAGACATCTTTTGCAACAGTCAATTCTTAAGGAACCTGGAAAAAAATCCTAATGACTACAGTCTGATTTTCATGACTCGCGGGGGGACTGGATCTTATCTCGGCATGCAACAGATGCAAGGCAGGGTACACCCCGGATAGGAATCCAGTAAATCACAGACACACACACACCTAAGACCAATTTTCCCAAAGGCCCATTAACCCACCAGCATGTCTTTGGACTGTGGGAGGAAACCAGAGTACCTGGAGGAAACCTACTTGAACACAAGGAGAACATGCAAACTCCATCCAGGTCAGGAATGAACATAGGGCCTCTGCAATAATGTTGCATTTAGCAATACTAAACACTGCACAACTGTGCCACCCGTGGTTATACTAATATTGTTAAAGAAATGTATGGTTCCCTTGTGCTGGAGTTCAAAACAAAATATTGGGGCAAACAAAAATCCCATCTCAACTCTGCAGAGTATAAAGGCTCTAGAACATTCCGTCACTCTAATTCAACATGAGTCAGTTTTCTTTCATTACTGCTGTGAAGTTTGGAGATGATATACAAACGTTTACAGCCTCCTAATGTCCATCAATGTACATACAAAGTTCAGAAATCTTGCATCACTTGGTAAAAATTGAATAATCTGGAAGCTGAGAATTTCGTTGGGGAACAATGTTTTATTATGAAGTGAAGGGACAGAAAAAACTACCACAAACCATCACATGTCAAAAAAGTCTACAGTAGCTCCTTTTTCAGCACCTTACAAACTTCTTCAGGTAAGGGGCTAACATGCCGGGCAGCTAAGCCGTTTACTTGTATCAAATAAACCAAAATTCAGTGTCACACAGATG